GGGAAGAGGGGAGAGGATGGAAGGAGGAAGGGGAAAGGAGTGGGAAGAGGATGGAATGGAAAGGGTGAAGGGGGAGTTGACGGTAGGAGGGAGGATGAGAGAGTGAAGGAAGGGTTAGGACAGTAGGTTAGAGGGTGGAAGGGAGGAGAGGACGGAGGGAGGAAAGGAGTGGAGGTGTAGGGAAGGAGAATGGTGAAGACAAGCTTAACCATGTGTCTTCTGTCTCTCCACCACATTTCTCTAGTACGTCCCCTTTATCTCACACAATCATATCTCCAACACGTCCCTCCAGCAATACAATCTCCAACACATCCCTCCAGCAATACAATCTCCAACACATCCCTCCAGCAATACAATCTCCAACACGTCCCTCCAGCAAAACAATCTCCAACACGTCCCTCCAACAATACAATCTCCAACACGTCCCTCCAACAATACAATCTCCAACACGTCCCTCCAGCAACACAATCTCCAACACGCAATACAATCTCCAACACGTCCCTCCAGCAACACAATCTCCAACACCAACAACAATATCTCCAACAATACAATCTCCAACACATCCTATTCTGTGTTTAAAGGGACAGCATTACATTATCATCTCTTCATTATCGATAAGCGGTTACGTTGTCATTATTTTTAGCCTAACTGGATAATAGAGGAGACCCACAGAGCCTAACTGGATATGCAAATGAGAGAGAATTCCAATTTGTTAACTCACTGGGCTGACCTAGAAAAAAAAAATCCCACGCGTTTCCGGGCATGGTGTGCGTTCATTGGTCCTTTGATGACGTAAGGGTATGTACCTTCTATGGGTATAATGTCAGTAATTAGAGTTAAAACCCCTGAGAGGACAGTGTGTATAGCCTATAGCAATGATGTTCACACACACACACACACACACACACACACACACACACACACACACACACACACACACACACACACACACACACACACGCACACACACACACACACACACACACACACACACACACACACACACACACACACACACACACACACACACACACACACACACACACACACACACACACACACACACACACACACACACACACACACACACACACACACACTATACTGCTCTAAACAAACAGGGAGACAAATAAATGGAGTCATGCCAACCTTGGGAGTTATGAAATATCTCGTAGTTGAGAAGATTGGGAGTTATGAAATATCTCGTAGTTGAGAAGATAAAGGTGAAGGTGAAGTGATGACTGATGAAGCTACTACAAGGAGGTAATGGTAGCCAGCCTCTCTCTCTCTCTCTCTCTCTCTCTCTCTCTCTCTCTCTGTAAGTTGTCATTGATCATGGCCACCACAACAACACGATACCAGTAGTGTGTTGCCTGATAAATTAACCTCCCTGATGCTTCCTGTTCCGGCTGTTAACTCTTAAGGAAATCCTCCTGTATGTGCTCATGGCGTGTATTGATTGGCCTTTACCTATGTATGACGTCAGCAAGAGTGTGTTTTCGTATTAGGTAAGGGTTAAGTTAAAGATAATTCACTCCTAAGGTGGCATGGTGTGTGTAAATTGGTTCTTTGTTTACGGTGACATTAGCTATTATTCACCCCATTATAAAAATAGGTTAGGTTGGGTTTGGTTATGTTAGGTTAGGTTAGGTTAGGTTAGGTTAGGTTTGATTGGAATTTATTAGTTTGGTTAATTTAGGTCGAGTTTATTTTTAGGTTGTTTTGGGAAGTTTCAGTTTGGGTGGATGATCCATTTTGGTTGTGCTGTTGTAGGTGGGTTAAGTTCGGTCAAAGTTAAGCTTGGTCTATGTTAGTTTAAGTTCAGATTAACTTGGGTAAGTTTCGATAGGCTCAAGTTTAGATGAATGTAGATTATGAAAATATAAGGTAAGTTACATTCAAGTTTTAGGTTAGGTTAGGTTCAAGATAGGTATGGTTAGGTTAGGTTAGGTTCAAGATAGGTATGGTTAGGTTATGTGTTGGAACAAACTGGTTACATGTTTAAGGATCCTTAACTGACGTAATGAGGTAAAAGGACCAATGCGAACCAGCTATCAGCTCCCGCAGTTTGTCTAACTACAAAAACCAAAAGGGCAATTCTTCTTCTTCTTCTTCTTCTCAAGAGAGAGAGAGAGTTTATCAGGGTCCAACGTTCTTCTCTGCTGGAGGACAAATTTAACGTTTAAAAGCGGATATGTGAAGTGGACTCTCCCGCTCACAGCTAATCTGAGGTGTTGGTTTTAGGGGGAGGGGAGATGAATGGTGAGGAGTAAAGCAAAGAGAGTTGGGCAGACACGAACATAAAGGAGAAAGAAGCATTATATGTACATGTGTGATTATATATATGTATTTAACTATGTATACATAGGCACATTCGGTCGTGCTCGTGTATCTATGAATACACACTGTAGATGCATGTGTGTGCGTATACACACATATAGGCTGGTTATCAACACACACCTCCACACATTTAATTTCAGTTATTATTTTCCATGATCCAGATTTCACTAATTTAAAATTCATGACTCAATGGAAACTGCTTTGGCATATTGTATATGTTTAAAGCAGACAATACTGATACTATATTGAATTATCTATATATTGGACATTTGTTTTGCTCCCTCGTGTGTGTGTATATATATATATATATATATATATATATATATATATATATATATATATATATATATATATATATATATATATATATATATATATATATAGTTCATTGTGCACTATGAATATGTAAAGGCAAATTATCCTCTTAAAAATGGTGGCGTTTATTTTGGTCGACAGCAGAGCTAAAGGACTGGTTTATAACTAAATAGATTATCTGATGGACCATTTACCTTTAATGGCTGTGTGAGTGAGTGAAGTGTTCCACCATGGTGCACCTCATGACTAACTCTCCAACATTTTCTTTAATAAATATTCCAATGCCGGTGGGGGGGGGGAGGTAGCAAGAAAGGGGTGGAGGGGGGTGGGAGAGGCCATGAGAGGGGTGTGATGATGCTGAGGAAAGAGAGATGGAGGTGGTGAGGGCAACAAGGGAGGGTGGAGGGGGGGGTGAGAGAGGCCAGGAGAGGGGTGGATGATGCTGAGGAAAGAGAGATGGAGGTGGTGAGGGCAACAAGGAGGGTGGAGGGGGGGGAGAGAGGCCGAGGGGGTGATGATGCTGGAGGAAAGGGAGGTGGAGGTGGTGAGGGCAACAAGGAGGGCGAGGGGGGGTGGAGAGGCCAGAGAGGGGTGTGATGATGCTGAGGAAAGAGATGGAGGTGGTGAGGGCAACACGGGAGGGTGGAGGGGGGTGAGAGAGGCCATGAGGGGGTGTGGATGATGCTGAGGAAAGAGAGATGGAGGTGGTGAGGGCAACACGGGAGGGTGGAGGGGGGTGAGAGAGGCCATGAGGAGGGGTGTGATGATGCTGAGGAAAGAGAGATGGAGGTGGTGAGGGCAACACGGGAGGGTGGAGGGGGGTGAGAGGCCATGAGAGGGGTGATGATGCTGAGGAAAGAGAGATGGAGGTGGTGAGGGCAACACGGAGGGTGGAGGGGGGTGAGAGAGGCCATGAGAGGGGTGTGGATGATGCTGAGGAAAGAGGTGGAGGTGGTGAGGGCAACAAGGAGGGGTGGAGGGGGTGGAGAGGCCATGAGAGGGGTGTGATGATGCTGAGGAAAAAGAGATGGAGGTGGTGAGGGCAACAAGGAGGGTGGAGGGGGTGAGAGGCCATGAGAGGGGTGTGATGATGCTAAGGAAAAGGAGGTGGAGGTGGTGAGGGCAACAAGGGAGGGTGGAGGGGGTTCAGACAGACAACAGTGACGTCAGAGGTGGCCTGTGTTGAGCCCGGCTTACCTGATATATCCCGGTTGTGTTATAACCATTGTGTGTATGTATGTCTGTATGTATGTTTAAAAGCTTTTATAGACAAGGTGAGAGAGAGAGAGAGAGAGAAGAAGAGAGAGAGAGAGAGAGAGAGGAGGAGGGGGATATAAGTCCATGATTCGTACGTTAATATCTTTTCCATTGATTAATTAAATGTAAGTCCTCTAGTTGCGTGAGTCTAGGTTTGGTTGGGTGGAGGTTGGCTAGGTTGGCTTGGCTGGCTTGGTTAGGTTTGGTTAGGGTTGGCTTGGTGGGTTTGGCTTGGTTAGGGTTAGGTTTGGTTTGGTTTGGTTTGGTTAGGGTTTGGTTCGGTTTGGTTTGGTTAGGTTAGGTTTGGTTAGGTTAGGTTTGGTTTGGTTTGGTTTGGTTAGGTTTGGTTCGGTTTGGTTTGGTTAGGTTTGGTTAGGTTTGGTTAGGTTTGGTTTGGTTAAATTCATCCTCACCGAATAACACTGTCAGTCGGTGCTAAATATACAAACAGAGCCACTGGTGTGATGCTATTTTTACTATCGTTCTATTTTCCTTTACATAGATGATGGAAAAAATCATGACTTTAACAATACATCAATAAAATATTTGATATGACAATGAAAGAGGAAAAAAAAGCGAGAACGGAGTCATGGAAGAGGAAAATGGGAAAGGGAATTGTCTGTTTTGTATGAGAAGGAAAAGTGGTGTTTTTTATCGTGTATTTTGGGGAGTTTACTTAACGTTTGAGAGATTGTGGAAGAGAGGTTGTTAGCTGTGTAAGAGAGGCGCGGGAGAGAGACTGAGGGAGAGAACTGTGGGAGTGAGAGAGAGTAGTGGGTGTTGGCGTGGGTGTGGGTGTTGGCGTGGGTGTGGGTGTTGGCGTGGATGTGGGTGTTGGCGTGGGTGTGGGTGTTGGCGTGGATGTGGGTGTTGGCGTGGGTGTGGAGTGGGGAGAGTGGTGGGTGTTGGCGTGGGTGTGGGTGTTGGGGTGGGCGTGGTTGGCGTGGACGTGGGGTGAGAGTGGTGGGTGTTGGCGTGGGTGTGGGTGTTGGCGTGGATGTGGGTGTTGGCGTGGGTGTGGGTGTTGGCGTGGATGTGGGTGTTGGCGTGGGTGTGGTGTTGGCGTGGATGTGGGTGTTGGCGTGGACGTGGGTGTTGGCGTGGATGTGGGTGTTGGCGTGGATGTGGGTGTTGGCGTGGACGTGGGATGAGAGAGTAGTGGGTGTTGGCGTGGGTGTGGGTGTTGGCGTGGGCGTGGTTGGCGTGGACGTGGGGAGTGAGAGTAGTGGGTGTTGGCGTGGTGTGGGTGTTGGCGTGGGCGTGGTGTTGGCGTGGACGTGGGTGTTGGCGTGGATGTGGGTGTTGGCGTGGACGTGGGTGTTGGCGTGGACGTGGGTGTTGGCGTGGATGTGGGTGTTGGCGTGGATGTGGGTGTTGGCGTGAACGTGGGTGTTGGCGTGGACGTGGGTGTTGGCGTGGGCGTGGGTGTTGGCGTGGACGTGGGTGTTGGCGTGGACGTGGGTGTTGGCGTGGACGTGGGTGTTGGCGTGGACGTGGGTGTTGGCGTGGACGTGGGTGTTGGCGTGGACGTGGGTGTTGGCGTGGGCGTGGGTGTTGGCGTGGGCGTGGGTGTTGGCGTGGATGTGGGTGTTGGCGTGGACGTGGGTGTTGGCGTGGACGTGGGTGTTGGCGTGGACGTGGGTGTTGGCGTGGACGTGGGTGTTGGCGTGGACGTGGGTGTTGGCGTGGCCGTAGTGATCGAGAAGAAACATTTGTCATGCCAGTACTCGAGGTCTCAGTGGTTTCAACGTCACTATTCACTCGTAACTGATAATAATGTCAACAACTTATAGGGAAGGTATACTGTGTCAGTGCATTAGTGAGTGCCATTGTCATCACCACATGCGTATATCATAACTTACGTGAACTCTGATACATGCGAGAGAAAATTTCAAACATTTTAGTTTTGTGAATAGTGGTCCAGTCTCAGTGCAGTTCTAACGCCATCTTGGACTCCAGCTTCGTCCCGGAGATTGAATGAGTCACTTAGATACGTGTTAGTTTTCGGCATGGTGGACATTTTTAAAATATTATCTACGAACTATTGAGAGTCAGAGTCCAGACACAGGTTTGACGTCATATTGAATACCGTACCTGTGGCTGTAACATAAGTCCCATATACACATGCACAGGACCTCTCCTCTTCTTCCCCCTTCTCTTTCTCCCCTTAACCTCCCGTCTTTAAGATTTTTAAAGCTGCGCCTCCCGCATGGAGTCTTTTTTTTCCTTTTTACCTGCAAGCTGTATCTCCTTCCCCTCCCCTTTTCCTCTCTCGTCTCCCCCCCCCCCTTAACCTCCCCCAGAAGCTATGGCCGTCTTGAATAATTATGTTAAGTGATTTTTGTTAAACTTAATTTTGGATTTGAGTTTATTTTTATAATGTTGATTTTTCGTGTTATGATTTCAATAGTAGTAATAATAATAATGACTGTAGCAAAGGGAGGAACGTCATGATCTCTTAAGTGAGACAAAAACACTTGCAGGAGAGCCTGAACTTTTCAGGAGACAGAAGACAAGGCTCTGATGATGTGGGCGGGCAGTTTGGTAACAAGATATGCGCTGGAAAAGTGACCTTGAAATAAGATCTCTTATAGAGTCTTCATGTGAGATGCTGCCAATAAACAGAGAGAGACCAGGAAGCATCTTAAGGAGAAACATCCTCCGGCAAACGAAGATAAACTTATCAGGTTATAGGGTGATTATGTTCCGCCAAACTCAGTTATGTTTGAGAAAATAACAGGAGAGATTATGTGGAATAAATAACTGAAGATCCAGAGAGAAGCCGGACCATGAGGTCTGGATGCTGTATGCCAGTGGATGGAGAGTTATCCTCAGCAGTAACAATATTTGCGATGCGACAAGTGACCTCTGCCACACTATTACCGCCCTTGAAAGAAAGCTGGAAACCACCTGCCGCCTTCACCTACAAGCTGTAACGGTCAACCGCCTCATCCCCTTGGATAAAAATCCTATAAGGGCGGGGGAAGTGGTGAGACGAATTATTGGTATATGTATAATGGAGGTGGTCAATGATGGTGTTAGGGCAGCAGCAGGGAACCCGCGAGTACACGTAGGAGCCGGCCACCAGGCTGGGGGAGAAGCTGCCATTCATGCCACGAGAATGATATATGAGGAGCATGACTGTATGGCTGTACTCCTGGTAGACGCCTCCAATGCTTTCAAAGTACTTAACCTCCAGGGTACACCTCACAACATCAAGCTCACGTGTCCAAGCTTTGCAAAATATGTGGAAAATATCTACAGGAACACGATATATCTCTATATAACTAACTTTAATGTCCTAATTGAAGATATTGCTATTCAGTAAACCAAGGGAACGACACGGGGGGACCCAGTCGCCATGGCAATGTACGCATTGGGCCTATCCGTCTCCAGAAGACATTAAATTATGAGACAGCCGAGGTCAAACAGGTAACATACGCTGATGACCTCACAGGAGCAGGAGAAGTTGAGGATATAAAAAAGTGAAGGACCTGGTAACATGTTTAAAAAAAGGCAGCAGAGTAGTAGTAATACCGGACTCCAACAGGTACAGTATATTAACCTTGTTAGTGGTAATACAACCCAGCGTCCTTTAACGGAAGAGAGACACAGAGGAGGAAGGGAAGGCATAGGAGGACGGCGGCCTGTAGGGAGGATATAGATCAACCTTTCTTTGTTTATCTCGTATAGTAGAAAAGATAATAATAAATTCCTTTTTCATCTTTGACTCCTCTTATAATTTTCCATTGACGTGTGTGTGTATATGTGTGTGTGCTTGCTAGTGAGCGTACTTTTAAACGTACATTGCTGTGTGGTATTGTCCAGTTGATTATATTTGTGTTTTATCTGTTGATGTTAAATCGCGCGCGTACTTGTGACTGAGTGAGTGAAAGTCTGTTTGCATTTTTGTTTTTCCTGATGTATGTATTTGTGTGTAAATAAGCTTTAATTGTGCTCCTACGTATTAATTTGTGTTAAATAAATACTCATATTCTGGCTGTTCTGTGTAATGTATGTGTACAGTACCAGACAGTTACACCGCTACACCCACCCACACCCACAACTACCACCACCACCACACCCACAGCTACCACCACCACCACACCCCACAACTACCACCACACCCACAACTACCACCACCACCACCACCACACCCACAACTACCACCACCACCCCACACCAACCCACAACTACCACCACCACCACCAAACCACAACTACCACCACCACCACCACACCCACCACACCACTACTGCCACCACCACCACCACTACTACCACACCCACCCACCACCCACACCACAGCTACCACCACCACCACCACACCCACAACTACCACACACCCACACCACCACCACCACCACACCCACAACTACCACCACCACACACACCACAACTACCACCACCAACCACCCCCTACCACCACACCACCACCCCACCACACCCACTACCACCACCACTACCCCACAACTATCCACCACACTAACAACTACCACAACAACAAATTACCCTCACTACTCTACACACTTTGAGCTAAATAATAACAAGCCGGAAAATATGTAATTCTTCACATATTTGATACACGACTTTATCCAGACTCGATTCAAACACAAGGGCATTTAATAAGAAAACCGTAAAGCAACTCTGAATTCTCTCTCTCTCTCTCTCATGCAGACTTAGCTCAATTTTAAGACATTTAACAAAAGTATACTCCGCAAAACAGTAATTTTTCCCATTATTGGTAAAAAAAATCAGAGCCACAAACACTGACAAAATTTAACTTTCTCAAATTTAATATTAACAAATCCATTTAACAAAAACCCGCGAGAAATATCAATTGTATCCAGAGTTTGTTTAAACACAAAACCAATTAACCCCCAAAAAACTACATCCTACACCCATCCAGCCAATTTAACAAAAAGGCCACAAAGGTATAAATTTCATGGCCGGACTCGAACATACATCACAATGAAGGCCAATATATCGTCCACTGTTTTGTGTTTTACTGGGCACAAACTTGCCAGAACACAGCCATATTTTCCACACATGAAGTACTTCGTTTTTGTTTCTCTCTATGGGATTTTGTCTTTGGGTTAATGACTCGTTATTTATGGGTATATTTTTTTTATTTGCCGATATATTTTCGGATATAATTTCGATATTTACGGATATATTTACATTATTTACTGATACAATTTCGTTATTTACAGATACATTTTCGCTATTCGTGCATATGTTTTAGTTATTTACGGATATTTCGTTATTTTCATATATATTTTCGTTATTTGCTGGTATATATTTGTCTTCACCCTGCACATCTTATTAATTAATGCATTTTATTTTCTACTAATTCGTGTTGAAAAATACTACTCAAAATCTATAATTTATTGCACAATTGATTTAATTACTTGGATATATTTCACAGACTATTTCTTATTTAAGGATTAGGTTAAGCCAGGTTAGCAAGGTAAGATTAGGTTAAGCCAGGTTAGGTTAGGTTAAATCAGGTTAAATCAGCTAAGCTATGGGAAGATAAGGTTAAATTATGTTAGGATAAGTCAGATTAGGTTAGATTTAATAAGGCTATGTTAGGTTTAGTTACGTTAGGTTAGTTTAAGATGTTACGTTAGGTTAGTTTAAGCTAGGTTACGTTAGGGTTAGTTTAAGCTAGGTTACGTTAGGTTAGTTTAAGCTAGGTTACGTTAGATTAGTTTGCTTGGGTCTGCTAGTTTAGTTTGCTAGGTTACGTTAGGTTAGTTTGCTTGTGTTGGTTAGGTTAGTTTGCTAGGTTACGTTAGATTAGTTTGGCTTTTAGGTTACGTTAGGTTAGTTTAAGCTAGGTTACGTTAGTTAGTTTAAGCTAGGTTACGTTAGGTTAGGTTTCAGGTTACGGTTAGGTTAGTTTAAGCTAGGTTACGTTAGGGTTAAGCACGTTTGGGTAGGTTAGGTTTAGTAAGGTACCAGTATTTGTATTTCAATACATTAAACCTCCCAAATACAGAGAAATACACAATACAGTACCAGTTCTCGATACAGTAGTGATGTAGAGTGACCCGTTCTTCAGATGTGTGTTGCATAGGATTGCATGAGACGGCTGTGGGACACATAAGTTGCAGTAACATCAGTGGCCGCCAGTATTCATGGGAGAATATTTCACAATGGGGGCTCTTAGCATGATGAAGTGCCAGGTCAAATTGCCCCTTGTCCCTTTTGATTCCCTGGGTTATATATACTGTCTATTTTTTGTATATTTTTTACTTCTCTTTTCCTCTGTCTCGTTTTTATTCTGTTTATCTCTCTCTTTTTTCCTCCTTCTTTCAGTCTCTTTATCTGTGGTTTTGTTTATCTTGCTTTTATTCTCTTTATCTATCTCTCTTTTTCTCTCTGTCTGGCTCTGTTTCGTTTATATCTCTATTATTTTCTCCTTCCAGTCTCTTTCTGCATGGGTCTGTTTGTCTTGCTTTTTTCTCTTTATCTATCTCTCTTTTCTTCTCTGTCTCTTTCTCTCTGGGTCTGTTTGTTTCAGTCTCTCTTCTTCTGTCACTCCGTCTGGGTCTGTTTATCTCGCTTTTATTGTCTTTGTTTTTCTCTTCTTCTCTTATTCTTTTTGGCTTTTATTTCTTGTCTCATTACATTTCTTATTTTCTCTATCTGTTTCGTATCTTTCTCTTATTCTCTTAGTTTCTGTCATGCCTTTTTTCTATTTCCTTC